AATTGCTTCCCATAAAATTTAGAAACATTTATTTTTTGAAAAACATCATTCCCTTTCCCCCTCCCCCCTCCCTTTTCTACAGCAAGTGGTATTTCCTTCTGGCAATAAAGTATGCCTTTTTGTACGCAGGAAACAGGAAGACTACTGCTCAGATATGAAATCTTCAGGGACCAACAAGGATTTTTAGCTGAAATGATTTATTTATCTGACTCCCACTGAAATCAAATGCAGCTTACAGCTAAAGGGACTCTCAGGAGCTTGTCTGCCTGGGAAACCTGTGCTCCCTGTAAAACATGTTTAAGATGACGTTGGGTGGATTAGTTTTGTGCCTATGTGACACAGAACATCCAGAATAATTTCTTCAGGGTACACATAATTTGACCCTTGTTCAATTAGTACTGTTTTCAAACAAAGAGTTCTGTAACTTGGCACTTGTGCCTTTCACTGAGTGTCAGAACATATTTTTGACACTTTATGCCTTATTAAACCAAATTGTCTATGCAACTACAAATCTTTCAGACGGACAACACTGTAGCGTGGCTCTGGTAGTGGTGATAATACTGACTGACTGACTGACACATGAACATACTCAGGGTTGTCTCTGGCCATATCCAGGTGGAGAAGGAGGCAATATATAAACTAAAGGGGCACACACATGTCTGGTGCTTTTGAAGATGGCGGAATTGTTTCAATGCACGTGTGTAGGACATTGGTATTTGTGAACAGCTAGCTTAAACTTCTTCTTCCTCCTCCTCCTCCTCCAAATGTTGGAAGAGCCCTTGTGCTCCCTTAGTCAGCATTACACCTGCTGTCCATGTGTCCTCTGGATATCCAACCAAGCAGCCCCAAGTTCTTCTTCCTTACCACTACATATTTATATTTATTTATTCAATTTGTATTCTGCTCTCATTAGTGTTGAGGCACTGCTCTGGGCGATTACAACACATATAATAGAAAACAAAAATAAAGATAAAAGCATTAATAGCAACAGCAATAGCCCTAAAAACAGACGGCACCAATTAATCATATAAACCCAGAGCAGCTGGAGGAAAAGGGGGAGGGGGAGAAGAGGGGGAAGGGAGGGAAAGGTGGTCAGCTAGGGTTGATGCGCAAAGCCTCACCTTCAATTGGCCTCACCTTAAACCAACATCTTTAATTGTCAACAAGGAAGGTGCCAGACAGAGCTCCTCCGGAAGCTGATTCCATACAGTTGGAGCCACCATGAAGAAGGCCCTGCCTCTTGTAGAAGATTTATGGGCATCCCTCGTGGTGGCCACCTGGAGGAGCCTTTACTGAGATGATCTTGTGGGTTGCTCCTCCTCGTGGTGGCCACCTGGAGGAGCCTTTATTGAGATGATCTTGTGGGTTGCTCATAAAAGTAACATGGGCCTAAACCATGGAGGACTTTGGAGGTGAGCCAGAACTGGAGTGATGCAGTCAAATATACTCACACGCAACACCTGGCTACCACATTCTGGACCTGCTGAAATCTCCAGATCAGGGTCACGGGAAGCCCCACGTAGAGGGCATTGGAGTAATCAATCCAGGAGATGACGAGGACCTGCACTAAAGGGAGTCTTCATCTAGGTAGAGGCGAAGTGGGGTGATTAGCCTAAGCTGGTTAAAGGCTGATCTAGAAACGGCTGCAATCTGGGACACCCAAGAAAGAGCTGGATCCAGAAGAATGCCAAAATTATGCACTGAGTCCCTAAACTGGAGGGGAATACCATCCAGTTTAGGGACCATCCCCCCTAACCTATCAGAGGTCTCCCCCATGGAGAAAAATGTTTGTTTTGTCCAGGTTCAGTTTGAGCTTGTTAGCCCTGATCCATTCCAGTAGTGAAACCAGGCAATGCTCCAGAGTCTGGACACCATCCACTGCAGAGGTGGTAATGGGGAGATAAAGTTGTGTGTCATCAGTGTACTGATAACACCTTACTCCAGATCTCCTGATGACCTCCCCCAACAGCTTAACATGGATGTTAAACAGTATCGGGGATAGTGCCAATCCCTGAGGAACCCCATACCGCAGAGTCCAAGGCGCCGACACCTCCTCCCCTAGCTAAATTCTCTGGATACGGTTCTCAAGGGAGGATTTGAGCCAGCTCAATGTTAAGCCCCCATCTCAACGTCAGAGAGCCTGTCCAGGAGGATACCATGGTTGACGATATCAAAAGCCACTGAGAGATCTAGGAGTACCAAAAGGGTGCATCTGCCCCTGTCAGTCTCTCTTAAAAGGTCATCCTGCAGTGTGATCAGTGTTGTCTCAGTACCCCTTTGTGGCCTGAATTAGGACTGGAATGGATCAAGGCAGTCCTGCTCCTCCACGTATGACTGCAGCTGATTTGCAACCAGCCTCTCAATCACCTTGTCCAGGAATGGTATATTAGCAATCAGATGGAAATTGTTAAGGTTGTCCGATGCTAACTGGGAACATTTGATGATGGGTTGGACATTGGTTTGCTTTAAACGGGAGGGAACCATTCCCTCCCTTAGCAATGAAATAACAACGTTCACAACCCCATCAATCATAACCCCCTTCATGGCTCTGATCAGTCATGCTGGGCAAGGATGAAATGAGGAGCTGGTGGGCCTACAGCTAGCTATCATCCTGGAGGCTTCCTCTGGTACTACAGGGTCAAACTGAACCAGCTGGGCAGTGGGAGCTGGGGCAGCGATGGTCACTCTTGGATCAGCTAAGCTGCTGGTAGAGTCAAGATCGGCACAAATGGCCTCAGTTTTCGCTCTAAAAACGGCTGCATCTTGGATCAGCTAAGCTGCTGGTAGAGTCGAGATCGGCACAAATGGCCTCAATAACTGATCACAAGTGAACTTAGAATGAGGCCTTGAATGGCCAGAACTGGCAAGGTCGCAGACCACCTGGAACAATTCTGCTTGTCGGTTCGTGGCCTCACTAATTCTCTGGATGTTGAGGTTCTTTCTTACCCTCTTAAGGGCATTAGCATATTTTTGGCCATGGTCTTAACTGCAGCCCTATTTTGCGCCAGCTGATTTCTTCTCCACGGCTCTCTAGCCATTTCCCATAGCCCCTCAGCATACCACAGCAACCTCTGGAGTGGAGAGGGTGTTTGGGGGGCGATTGTGTCAGCCACCCAGGTTGTCTCCAGATACCATCTATTGATCTGGGTTTCAACAGGGTCATCTCTCAGGTTGGCCAGAAGTCCTCCCAGAGCCCCTCAAAACCATTTTGGGTTGAGAAGTCTGGAAGATTGACTATTTTCATGGGTCCATTCTCCCCATGGAGCGGGGTCACTATAGACAGGTGGAGTCTTAGTAGGAATTGATCTGTCCATGACAGAGGATGGGAGCTCACAGTCCCCACCTCTGCAGTCCACCTCTGCAGTCAAGAACACCAGGTCCAGAAAGTGTAGGGCAGGTGACATATTTTCAGGGCTGTCCTGGCATCCATGAACTCCAGGGCCAGACTGGACAGTTCTAATTCAGCATGGATGTTGAAGTTCCTCAACCTTATCTTTGTAAATTTTCCTCCTCCTGCCTGCAGCCCCCTGTTTTTGCAACCACTTTGTTTACATGTACGATTTTTTTAATGAGACTTTTAAGATCTCATTGTTTTTCTCTTTTTTCCTTGCCTGCTTGCTAAGTGAATGGTGACCTGCTATTCAAGAAGCTGCATGACTCCTGTTTTTGCACTAACTACTCAAAACCAGTCTGTTCTTTCTTTCTTTAGATATCTGGCTGTGGAGCCAGAGGTTGGAAGTTTAATTCCCCACTGTGCCTCCTTGCCAGGAGCTGGATTTGATTATCCATAGGTTTTTTTCCAGTTCTGCAGTTCTAAGATTGTTGTTGTTTGTATAAGACACTTCTAACTGAAATTGTTTCCTGAACCATCAGGGTCACTGAAATTGTTTTTAAGTAAGGGGCTTAAAATATATGGGCAAGTCATGGTAAATTTTACTTAATTTCAGGATCATCTTGCTTAATGGTTAGAAAGAAATACCATGATTGCAACCTTATTTATTCTTTCTCTCTCTACCCCACTCTCTGCCTTACTCATGGGAGAACTCAACTACAACATCAGTTTAATCCTTTTTTTGTGCCTGATTATTTCTAGTACACAATTGATTAATCATTCCTAAAGGGTTTTAACTGCACAAAAGTTTTTGTCAAATTTTCCAATTTGGACTGATCATTGGAGAGGCAGAAATAATCCTATCCAAACACACTTGAGTCTTCAACTGAGTTCCCTGATGCCCTGTTCTGCAGTCCTGGAGGTTGCCTGCTGTATATACTCTGGAAGCTTGAATCAGCAAGCAAGTACCATCTCAACTGGATCATTAAGTATTTCTTTTTCATAAATGATCTACCATAAATAAAAGCAAAAGAGCCAGAGAATATTCCTATAGGATATCTTGTGACACCACTACTGTTGCAGGATAATGTTCTAAGAATGTTACCTATATGAGGATGCCGCTTCCTTCCTACATGCTAACATTTGAGTCAAACACTTGGAAAAAATCCACTAAATATTCCAGACTAGTTTGGTACCCTGGCATCTGAAAGGGCAGAGACGGAAGCTTAATGCTTTCAAATCAATTTGTTTTATAGGACTTCTAAGTGTGCATGTTACCTTTAGCATAAGAAATAAACATTTATGTGTGATGAAGACAGAGTTCTTGATTTAATTTGAAATGTAATGTCAGAACACATTAGCAAAAAAATTATTTATTTATTTGATTTTTATACCGCCCCATTAGTTCAAAGCACAATTCTGGCCAGTTTGCAACAATGGATAAAAACAGACAGTGCTAGATGGTGAATACACAAGAGTTAAACCATTAATAGAATAAGAACGAGAGGCATCAAGAACAATTCTCTGAATGACAGCAGGATAGGGAGCATAAAATCAAACAGGGTCGGTGTGGAAAGCCTCCCTGAAGAGCCTACCTGGTCATGGTAAAATCTTTTATGTTCGAAAACATAACAGATGTGCTTTGGAACGGAGGATAAATTGTACTTACCAGTTTTCAAAGCAAATATTAGATCATCAAATTCTTGTGATTCTTCATCAGCCACCAAGGAGCTGTTGCTGAAGCCTCCTGCTGTTGCATAGGCACTGCCATTCTGTGGGCTCTGCTTAAATACAGCACTGGCCTGGCTGATGGGCCTCAGTGATGCCCTCTCCCAGTCCGTTGGCATCTTTAAGGAAGTGTTAAGAAGTGTACAGTATTATAAATGATGCAAACCATAACTTTCGGCATAAAAGTTAGCAAGAAATCCTCATCAGTTCCCCTGGGGATTTCACAATCACGAGCACATCTCAGGGTTGCCTATCTCAGGGCACTGGCTGTTGTTTCAGCACTGGCTAAACTGCTATGCTTGCCCAGGTCTTCAGGCAAAGAGGCAAATCTTAAGGCCATCAGAGATGGAAGCGGAAGAGAAAATTTGATTCTTGTGGCAAGTGGAATTAAAGCCAAGGCATCCATCTCCATTTTTTATCTGCTGGAGCATGACTCCCTGGATCAGCTTGAAGGTGTATATGTGTCCAGAGTGCAAAGATAGCATATCTAAAAGAATTTAAAGAAAATAGAAATGTCCACTTAGATTAGCTCATAGTATGTAAAATCAGAACAAAATGTCATATAGTCTTAAGCATTTGTGCCTAAAGCTTTTTTAATAGTTTAAGACTTTTGGATGATTTTTACATTATTTAAACAATCATAGACTTCTTTAGCTGTTTAAGCATTTAAATCTGCAATTTCTCACAAGTAATTGCCTGATTGGATTCCTGTATGATTGAAGTAAGAGCGCCTGTACCTTCCAGGTCACATATATTCAATTTTGAATTTTGACATTTTCTCACATATGGAACATAGAAGCAATCAGATGAATAAAGCTTGGAAAAATTAAGGAAGCTGATGCAATGGTTCTGGATTAGAGATGGGGTATTCATATTTGGATAGGAATAACCCCACACAGCTGAAGTTAATGAGGCTAGGCTGTCCATTCACACATCCATACACAGCTGAAGTTAATGAGGGTCTGGCCCATGAGGCTGGGCTGTCCATTCACACATCCACTGGTGGCGGCGGCCCTTCTCTTCCTTCCAATCGCTCAGGAGCGTCTGACACAGCTGAAGTTAATGAGGGTCTGGCCCATGAGGCTGGGCTGTCCATTCACACATCCACTGGTGGCGGCGGCCCTTCTCTTCCTTCCAATCACTCAGGAGCGTCTGCTCAGCAAGCCACTCGTCAGCCTTGCAGGGAGACTCATCTTCCCTCCTTCTGCCAGGAGTGGCTAGCTGACCGGGTGCTCTGGAGCAACTGGAAGGAAGAGGGGAGCTGCAGACTCCAGCCCTCATTAACTCCAGCTGTGTGAGGGTATTTGTATTCATATACAAATACAAATACCCCCATCTCTAATCTGGATGTCTAGAGAACAGCTTACTTCTCCTTGAGTGAAACAATGGTTTACTTTCATCCTCTGAAGAATGATAAAGTATTTAAATGATGAAACAATTTATACCTTGATACCCAGATGAATACTGATATGATTGATAATGTTATCTTATCTCACCCTGAAACTAAACCTTTCAAGGATATATTTTAGCTGTGACAGATCACAGGCTCAAACTAGCAAAGACTGCTATAAAGTTTTATAGTGCTCTGAGGTCACTGTTGGAGCATCACACATTTGAGCTTGATGTGTGGGTCACTCTTGTACAGTGCTGGAAAAGCAAAAAGCCAGGAGTGAGGGAGAGGATTTGTGAGTGAACTGTGGTGCATGCCCTTGGGCTGATTATGCCATTTGGGGTAAGGCAGGGAGTGGAACAACAGTGTTGTGACTCATGAGACTTCTTGTTGAATGAGCCCTGGCAGGACTGTGTGATGGTTGATAGCCTTCCATAAATCCAAACAACTTCATAAATGTCATACTGCTGTAGCTGAGTCTATGCACAGCAGAAATGGCAGCAGCACACAGTATTCCCTCCGGCTTACGATTCCCATGCTACTTGATTTGCAGTAACTTGGTTTGTATTACTGGGGATTTCCATGGACTTTGGGCCCATTCCCCTCATGTCCATTTCCACAAACAGCTTGGCCAGAAGCAATTCCACTTCCTCCCAATTCTCACCTGCCCTTCCTCTAAGACAGGGGTCTCAAACACAATTTACCTGGGGGCTGCTGGAAGCAGAGTCTGGGTGAGGCTGGGCTGCATCAGATTTTCTGCCAAGTGGAGCAAGAGCCTGAGGAAGCTGCCCAGGAGTTTCCTTAGGCCGACTGGGGCTCCGAGGAGGAGGAGGGGCGCGAGAGCTGTCTTGGGAGAGCAAGGCGAGGCTTTTTTTACTCTTGACAGCAGTGGGCGCTTCGGGGAGGCAGGCAAGGCGGGGGGCCACAAACTATCATCCGGCGGGCCGCAAATGACCCCCGGGCCACATGTTTGAGACCCCTGCTCTAAGACATCACAAGAGCCAAATCCCACCCCTTCCTGGTGCCAGGTTTTAGCACTGAAATCTCAGGGACTGGAATGTTGCCAAAATGACAACCCACCTTATTCCAACCTTTACAAATATATATTAATAAAACAGTCACGGGCCACAATCCTGTTGGGATTTTATTGTGGAATAAGTGAAACCCCATAAACTGCAACAGTGAATTGCAACAAAGAAGGTACCACGCAGACTCCTGGTCAGTGCTTAGTGGCTGACATGTGTCCAGGCACACACACAGCTCCTTGTTAATTAATACAATTTACTGCCACAGCTTATGCTATTTCACTTATTTGGGATCAAAATCTCAGTAGGATTCTGCCATTTCAATATATTTTGACAAACATTATTTTTCTGAACTACAAGTCCCAGAGTACTCAGTATTCTAGCCTTTATTGAAGTCCAAAGGTTTACCCAAAATATTCTGCCCTACAATGTATACAGCAACTTGTTACAATGAAGAATCTACTCAGATACAGAGTGGCTTAGAGTACAGGAAAACAATATCACGTATTCTAAAAACCACTGTGTACATGGAATCTTTTTTTTTCTTGAAAAGGCACTTATTTTCCAGTCACTAATCTTTTAAGAGGTTATTGATAAGGCTTCCACACACACAGCCCCACCTCTTCACTACTCGAGTTCTTGTAGCCAAGTTACAAGTATTATGAGAGAACTCCAAATGGTCTTGATAAAGTAATATGCAAATATTGTTGCAAAAGTCCCTTTCATGGTCAGTAACTAATTGCTAGAACTATCAACATCTAAAAAGGTGAAACACCTGATATCGAACTGTGGACTGGTTCCCATGTGTATTTATGAAGAACTCTGTAATACAATGTGTCGTGTCGTGTCCACAAAGATACACAGAGGAGTGAGGGTTGCAGAAGTGAGTAAACTTGACACACAACATTAAAACGTTTAATCACTATTTGAACTAGTTTTCTCTTGTTTAAGTTTGACGTACATTTCCTAGATCTCTCTCTCTCTCTCTCTCTCTCGCTGCATCTGAGGAACTGTGTTCCTCTGTACAAACTTCCCTATCTATTAAGATAATAATTGGAATAATTTACATATCACAACATCCTGAGTAATATATTTAGTGAATTCCAAGGAAGCAGCTTCTTCCATGGGTGCACCAAAGCACTGGTCTCCACAGGATGATTGAACACTCTATACTAAGAAAGCTTTAATTTGTTACAGCTTTCCTAAGAAAGCAAAATAAAAGAGCAAACCGTGCTACTCATATACCACCTCATTCCGCTTAAAGCACCCTCTGGGCACTTTACAAGTTAATTATGCAGGCTACACATTGCCTCCCCAACCAGCTGGGAACTCGTTTTACCGACCTCAGAAGGATGGAAGGCTGAGTCAACCTTGAGCCAGCTACCTGGGATTGAACTCAGGGTTGTGAGCATTGTTTTGACTGCAGTACAGCAGTTTAACCACTGCATCACAAAGCCCTAAAGTGGGTTTTCGATACTAGAACCTATCTGGTTAATATTTTTTATAGGTTGTGGGTTTTTTGGGTGTTTTTTTTGCTATTTTCTTGTTTTCTTGTGGCCTTTAATGCAGTATTACTTTAAATATTGTTTAAATTGTTGTGATTCTTCAATTTACTATTTTTTTTACCAGCATGGCCACTGACCATAAATCAACATGAAGAAAAGTAGAGTAAATGTGTGAGAATAAATAATAAAAAATAAAAGTAATTTTTGCCCACATTTGAATATAAGTTATATATTTAGGAATGTTACTTGCCCGAGACTAACAGTTACAAATTGTAATCTGATCTACTGCTATTACCATGAGACAGATGGCATTTTACAGCAGTTGGGTATGGACTGGATAATTCCAGGTTCAGGTCCCTTTGAAGAGTCAGATTAAATCATCCATTTCATAGCATTTCTCTGCTATCTGTTTTAGGTACACAAAAGGATCACACATTCTCTGAATGGACTAGTATAATCCCCCTCCTCTTCCTTCGCCTCTCCTCTGGCTCTTTTTACACTTTTTCATAATTTCAGAAAATTCTGCTGATCAACCTTTTGCTTATCCCATAGCACAGTCTTGAGTAAGCCACTATCTCTAGGTCATTTGTGATTATGATAAATACCCTGCCTGCTTAGGGCAAGATGCGTACGCAGTGGATATATATTATTTCACATATGTTTTTAATCTAGGAAGTATTCTGGACCCAGCTATGTTATGCAGCTGGAGGAACCACATTGGTGTGTGTGGGTGCATTCTCTCACCTTGGTTTGTTCGACAGCAAGGTTCCCATATGGATATTATGGAGCTGGTTACGATGCATGCTTGGTTATTTCCTGATTTAACTACTATAGTATGATGGATATAGGTGTAATCTCAGCTCTAGCACATCCTTTGTACAACAGAGAATTTAAAGCTACAACTACAGCATGAACTCTACTAATATAATGGTGGCACCAGTATTATGGAGCTCCTTCTTGGGAGAAATCCACAAAAGCCCATGCCACAGATTTTACTAGCTGAGTAGTAAATATATATATATTCATCAGGCTTTTAGTGATTTGTGTGTCCTGCCAGTTTTTGTGTCCAGTCAGACAGTGTCAGTAACATTTCAGTGCTTTCCTATACAAAGCTACTCAAAAATTAAGTCCCATTGGCTTCAGAATGGCTTGCTCCCATGTAAATGCACATGAAATTCCAACCTTAGTCTCATACATTGTTTTGTTGTTACATGTTTTCTCTGATGAAAAAGGAAGCTCATTAATATAACATATATCCATTTACACAGTGGTTGAAATCCTGTTCCATAGCATGTCACATAAGGCTAATGGTATCATCAACTGCAGTGATTTTTCAATAATAAAATATTTCTGATCCCCCCCCCAAGAGGCTCAAAGCCCCATGGAATCTCTTTCATCATGTAGAAGCTCTTGAAGGCCACAAGATGAAAGGGAACTCTTTAATTTATGAAAATTGCCACCGGGATGATTTTAACCATTAGCTTTATGAGCTGCAGATCTGCAAACAATTTCAGCCAGCATATCTATTTGTGTCTAGCAGAGGACTAATAAATTTGGTACCTCTTCCATAGCAGCAATGAGATTCTGAGTAGATTTGCTGATTTCAGCTCCTGCTGAAGGCATGCCACTGCCATGAGTGAAAAATGCAGAACCTGAACTTGTATGTCCATTCATTTCAACTGTATAACTTGCTTTTACAGGGCAACAGAGCTGGTTGTGTAGAATGAAGTACACCACAAAGACATAAAGACCCTAAAAAGAAAAGAAGAAAAGGGAAAAAGCAAACATCTATAAAAGCTATCTTGAACACATTTAAGAAATCCATACCATAACAAGGTTCTGCATATAACACACAGAATCCTTTAGCTAGTCTCAAATTGAATAAACCAGGTGAATCAACTGTTGCATGGTGAGTCACATTTACACGGACCCCATTCATTCATTGGGTCTGCTTTATTTAGGACTAAGAATAGGATTGTGGGCCATATGATAAAGATATTAAAAAACCAATATAACATGATAAAATTCATTACTTGGAAGTAGAGATGGGTATGAACTGTGGTTCAGCAGTTCAGCCCAGTTCAGTGCCACGCACTCCTCTCTCCAGCCTATTCTGGGGACCCACCCCTTCCCTGGATGATGAGTGCTCCCCTCCTCCAGCTACTCTGGCAGCTACCCACTCAAAGGCAGTTCTGTGGCTTTCCTGTCTCACCTCCTCATCTGAGTGGGTGGCTGCCAGAGAAGGTGAAAGAGGGAATCAAGTGCTGCGATTGGCGAGTGGGCAGTCGCACCATGGAGGCAGGGAGGGAAGCGCACATCATCCAGGAAATGGGCAAGTGCACAGAGGCGGCAGGAGAGGTGACTGCATGACACCCATGGAAAACTTAAGATAACCATAAAGGTGATGCTCCAAGACTCCATTAAGATAAACTAGTAATTCATGTATTTAGCTTAATACATTCAAATTATCTATGAAGCAAAGTCAAAAGTGGAACAAGTCACACTAATTACAGCTCCAAGAAAATATGCTATAGACTACCCAAAATGATGGGAAGCGGGCCACGATTTTATATTGTCAGACAGTAGCTTTAGCATGTTCATTAACCTGTTGCCTCCTTGCTACATCTTCAGCACGACAAACATGCTCATGTGTTTTTAGATGCCTATTTCAGATTCTAATGAAGTTCTCCAAGTTGCCCATTACTTTGAGACAAGCTCATATTTACAATATCATGTTGGTGTCTTAAATCACCTCTATGTTGTGTTTTGCTTGCTTGCATGTTTGCTTTTGTTTCAAGTTTCAACCTTTAGGTTGAAAATGTCTTGTACAAAATGTATGGAACAGAAGGGTTTTTAAAAACATGTCAGTTAGTATAAAAGAGAATGGTTATAAATCAATGTAGAGATGGTATTTAACACCGATAAAATTAAACAAAATAGATTCTAAATATTCCAAGATGTGTTGGAGATGCAAGAAAGAACTGGGCACATATCTAGACTTATGGTGGGAATGTGAATATTTACAAAGGATTTGGAGGAATTAATAGATTCTAATTAGAGAAATAATGGAAATCAACATTGAAGCATCATCAAGAACAGCATAATTGTTAATAGACAATCATAATGTAAATAACTCAAAGAAAGAAATGATTATAAATATGATAACAGCTGCTTGATCATGTATAGCAATAAACTGGAAGAAGAACTGGATCTTTCAAACACATGAATGGTATAATGAAATCTGGAATATTGTGATTAACAATAAACTGATACCTGAAATTAAGTTTAAAAAGGAGTGAAAAAGATTAATAAATTTAATGAGATATAGATTGACTTTATAAATGGCATATTGAATAAAGGAAAAGGTGAAAAGCCAGGTCATGAATATGTGTATTTTTGGAAGGGATAAGGGGTCGTTTAAAAGATGAAGGAAACGTTGTTATAAAATATATATCCATGTACTGTATTAATGGATGGTCCTTGGGGTGAGGGGTTGCATGTAACAAATTAAATTTAATAAAAATAATATTTAAAAAAGAGAAAATGTCTTGTACCATGAACCACCGTGATTGATCCTTTTCCTGATTTGTGCCCATCTTTCTTTGTGAGTATAAATTTTGAGATGTCTGATGTTACATCTATATATGTGTGTGCATGAACACATCTGTGCACTTTGGCTTTGAATCTTATTGCACTTAAATCTTCTGAAATAAATGACTGTTCAGAAATACCTGTTTCTAAGGTACCCAGAGGCATGAAACTCATTACTCAGTTTATAAATAGAGAACAGGCTTTCATCTAACTGATTGTACTTGGGAATTCCAAATATATACACACACTGAATATGAAAGAAGGCCAGAACACCAGGTTATACTTGTATACCCACCCACACTGCAAACCACACTTCATTAGGGAAACCCCTTTCTAGTCTGCCCAGATTTTAAAACATCATAGCATTTGTTAGAGAAGTGATACACATATACAAAAAAAATCCCCTCACATTTATCGTATTTTACTTCAAAACAAAGTAGATCATTTGAAGTTCAGCTAACAGCTAATTTTGCAGTGGTGGTAATCAAAAGATGAATTTTTCTTCCCTTATCACACTAGCTTTCTTGAATATTTTGGCATTGGTAGAAGCTAATCTTCTAGAGCAGCCATTTTCAACAGGGGCCAAGTGGCCCCCTGGAGGCCCCCGGCGCATTTGATGGGGGGCACAGACTTGAAACAATTCTTTGCACACAACCTTATAAGGTTTCATTATGCAACTTCTACAATCCTGATTTGACCTATATCATTTTTAGGGCCATGGCAAAAAAAAAAAAAAAAAAAAAGGATGAAAGTGGCTTTTGTAGAGAGTCCTCGTGCTGCAGTGATTAAACGGCAGCACTACAGTGAAAACTCTGCTCATGAGCTGAGTTTGGTCCTGATGGGCTCAGGTACCCAGCTCAAGGCTGGCTCAGCCTTCCATCCTTTTGAGGTTGGTAAACTCATATCCAGCTTGTGGGGTGGGGGAATGTGTAGCTTGCATAATTAAATTGTAAACTGCCCAGAGAGTGCTTTAAGAGCTATGGGATGGAATATAAGCAGCAAACTTTGCTTTAATCTGGAGACAAACAGTATATAGAAAACCCTGTTTAAAAATCCTAACTTTGGTAGGATCATGTCATGTGTACTGGAACATATAATAATTAAGATAGGCACGGATGGAGAGCAAAAGTGTACCAGCCAAAATTTATTAGAGAAGAGGGAAATAACAGGCTGGTTCTTGATACTTAGTTGCATTAAGGGCAATGTAAGAATACACATGGCACGATCCCACCAAAGTTAGGCTTTTTTCAAGTCCGCTTGGTTTCAGCCAGAGGGAGTTCCCCAGGAATTTAATTGCTCCATTGAAATAAATGTGCTTTGTCGACACATTGTTATAAATCTATCCAGGTTATATTAGGATTGGGGAGGCCTGTTTTATGTACAGAAGGCTAAAATCTGATACTTGCTCATGTGAGGGTAATTTATCATAAAGGGACTTACATTTGAGTAGACATGATGGTGCTTTAAATGTCCTTAACTGTGAAGAACGGCAACTTGCCTAGCTATTGCTTGTACAAACACTACACAGCAGGGGAGAGGATGGCTGACTGGGAGGTAAGCATCACCATCCAAAGCTGCAATCCTGTTCTCCTTCTTCAGGTAAGGGTCTGTCCAGACTGGCTGTTTTGGGTGAGGAGTGGGGATTGGGCTACAAAGGGTACACTGAAATCAGGGGAAGGAGCAATATGTCATTTGGTGTACTCCTCTCATCCAAATGGCCCTTTGTAGTCTAATAAGCCGTCAATTAAGTGCTTCTCCAATTGTCTGATCATGGGAATAATTTTTTAAGTCACTCCTCTCTCCATTTGTCAGTGCCATTTCATTTTATCCTTTCTCCCCTGCCTGCTTCCATTCCCTCATTCTCCCCCCCTTTCTTTATTCTCTCTCAGTGGTTGTTGGAAGCTGCTATTTCTAGGCTAAACGGCAACCATGCCAAAAAGAACACATGAGCTACTGCTGGGCCAGGCAGGTGCCTGACAGCTCTTAAAGGGTAAGTATGGATCATTCTAAGTAGAAACACTTTCAGATGAGGTCTTTTTTCCTCTCAATCCAAATCATGTGGTTAACTATCCATATACCATATTTATATACCAGTGTGGACAAGCCCTGATTCACAAAAATGGTCTACTTTTGCAGCCTATAGGTTTCTCCCTAAAAGTGGAAATTCAGTATTTACTGAGCACTTAAACAAACAGCAAAGGCAGTGACTCAGTGACTTATCTGAGAAAGCTTGGGGCTCCTTTGCTTCATTAACGGACAACCACAGGCCTAAACTAGGAGGTTCATGCTATCATTGTGAGATAGACAAATCTTCTTGTTCCACTGCTTACAATGTTTGTAATATTCCCGAGGTTTTTAAAAAATATATATTCTGGAAAGTACAAGGCCATTTCCTACATCACTTTGCAAAAGAGCTTTGAAAAAAAAAGTCTGTATGAAAACTTCTGCATTTTTCCATGTTCAGCTGGGACACGACTAAACGACTAAACGAAAACGACCAAGCCAAAATGGTGCTTACTTTGGAATATATGTACATTTTTCAACTTTCTTTCTTTTCCAGAAATGCCTTAACACTGTGGAGGCTTCCTAGCATTGAGAACATAAGAGAACCCCAAGTGCTTTGTAACACTACATTGTCTTCTGCTTAGCTCTCAGCTGGCTGCAACGTCCTTTTCAAAAAGGCACACACATACACACACACAAAACAAAAAACAAAACAAAAACTGCAGGGAAATAAAAGTGCTTTATAGATTTGTCACTTATCCTTCTGTCACTAAAATTGCCTGTGTCGCTGTGGCAACAGCAAAACAGTACTTGCAAAGTTTCAAGTCACTAATAAACTTAATGGTACAAGATATTTTGGAGCTATCTTCCCCCCCCCCCAAAAATCCGGCTGACCTTTTTATCAAGGCAAACAAGGAGCATTTGGCATTTTGCTCACAGTAAAGAAAACTGGGTGAGCTTTCATTTGTGGCAAGCACCAGATTCATGAGTTGCACAACTCTGTGAGGGAAAATGTGGGTTTGTGTAGCAGCTCCTAAGCTATGTATTAGGATGACAATTTCCTGATAAATTTCTTATGATTCGACCTCTTTGAGGCTTAAATTTATCTCGTGACAAATGCCAGGTAGTGCTGGAAAATCTTAAAAACACACTTTCTA